TTGCGCTCGAGCGCTTTTTAGGTTTGACAAATGCAAATGCGAAAGGTAGCTAACTTTGACAGTGGAAACCTTTGCCAAACACTAAATCAGATTTGATTTTGCAGGCTCTACTCGTCAGTTATTATCCTGGTGTAGGAGCACGTGCTGTTTTGTTTCTATATGAAGTCGGCATTTTTCATCATGGAGGTACAGCGTCAAAAAAACTCTAATACTTGGAATTTCAGAGTGTAAAACTAGTTCAAAAGTTTTTAATTTTATGACCTTTGATTTCGATTCCCGATTCTGTTCATTCAGTTGTGTCAGCCTAACCTTTAATCACCCCCCATTTTCATGGGTTTCTTCTGCACACAGTTCCGTAATGAGTCAGCTCACGTGCATTTGAACGAATTTTTTTGGGGGATTTTGCAGTAAATAATTTTATAGATGGTCTCCTATCCTCCTTTATAATGGTATTCGCTTGTTCTGTTCGTCTTTGGAATATGAGTGTGGTGGTGTTGTACTTACCATCGGTAATGGTTGAACGAGCCCTTGCTTCAAAGTTTATAACTGATTACGAGAAGACACCGAGACCGTTGATATACAAAGTCATTATATCGTTCATCTACATCACAGCAGGAATAATGGCTTACTTCAGCTCGAGTGGTGAGTCTGCTTTCATTACACGTGAAAATTATCAAAAAAGTGCACTGTGGCATTGAACCATTAGAGGGAAAAGATGCCTAGATTGTGAGAAAATTTTTGGGAAATTCTCGCCTCTCGGTCTTGTTTGACGATATCATTCGGACCGCCAGCGGTGGACCTCCGACCTGTCCGTACAAACACACAGTGCCAGTTCCCACTGAGTCACTCGAGTGTTTCGCTATCAAGAAAAAACTCCGTTCCCAAAGATCTAGCTTAACACCTTGGTTTCTTCAAAGTCAAGGAACTGGAAGTTCCTCTTATGACTTGCTCGTGTTTTTCCCCTTGTGACCAGAGTGAGTTGCTTATCTTTTGGAAAAAGGTCTATAGTATTCAAGCTCATGTCAATTCTCTATTGCAGCCGGTGGGATAAAGTGGTGAAAAATCTCAATCCCCACTTTCAGGTAATGTTGAAGCCGTGCTACGACGTGTGACTGTGGTAAAGTACATGCGAGCCGTTGTGAAAGATAGCACGTGGTTTAGCGAGAACCGGCTTGTAACAGTGCGGCGAGAGCATCGATGACGACCATTGGCAGGCCAGAACTGAAGGCGTCTTTGTTGGGAGAAGATTACAGGCCAGTGGCAGATGAAAGGCTGTGGCGCGGTGGATAGCGATGCAGCAATCGTTGTGTTGATTCGCATGTCTGCCCAATTCCACAAGGCTCGCGTGATAACTGTGACTGGTCGTCTGATGATCGATTTACTCGAGCTGATGCCAGCGAAGACTCCTTTCGTTCCTGTTATGTGCTAAAAAGGTCCATTAGATCTTTCACGCTCGAGAGGCACGCTGCTCTTGTTCCTGTTCCTGTCGCTCACAGCTTTCGTGAAAAAAGTCTGACCATCGGGCCGGTGGTCGTCTCAGGTGCTTCGTTTGACGTCGCCGAGGAATCCAGTGAACCACTCAGGTTCCAACAGTCATCACAAAATAGAATGACACATCCATTTCAACTGGTTTTCGGCTCCTTGACCGCACCTACATACCTCGTCCTGCACGGCAGAGTCTAAGTCTCTGACGCGCTAGTTGGGCAAGAATAACTGCAGAATCGAAGATGTGGGGTGATGTTGTTCATTTTGTTGCACCTCCCTCGATGTTCTCGATGTTCTTGTGCGCTCCCATGCCGCTCGTTTCCTCCTGCTCAGCTCTGGAGCTAGGTCGTTCATCATATTGATTTCCCGACCTAGGTACACGTAGCTGGAGCATTCGGTGATGTTCGTTCCGTTGAGCGTGAATGGGGCATCAGGAACCAATCCGTTTCTCATAAACATCGTCGTTGTAGTATATAGATGCTACGAAGTGGGGTCGAAATCAGCCGCAGCCAGCCATGCTCGCTCCGCTTGCTCGATGTTCGGCGTTATAAGAACGATGTCGTCAGCAAAACGAAGGTGGTGTAGTTGCCGGCCGTCGACCTTCACTCCCATGTCTTCCCATTCCAGTTGACGCATGACGTTCTCGAGAGCGGCGCTGAAGAGTTTGGGCGAGATGGTGTCGCCCTGTCGAACCCCTCTCTTGACGTCGATGATGACCTCCTTGTAGAATGGTGAGATTCTGGTCGTAAAGTTGCTGTAGAGCTCACGAAAAATCCATGTGTAGCACTGCCACCGAAAATTCGGAGAAGGGTCTGACTTCATAGAAACGTGGGCTTTTTTCAGCCAGCTTTATCGCGGGATGGAAATTGGGAAATTTCAAGTGAAAAAATATCACAACATGTTGCGACAAGTTTTCCACAACATGGCATGTATGCAATCGGTAAAAGTCACATTTTGAAACTGAGAACGACGTAAACGATCAAATGAGATGAGACCTTTCGAGCAAAATATATCATTCTATTTGAAATACGATGGAGCCTCTTAATGGAATATTCCGTCCAATTTTACAGGCTCCATAAACTCCACATTTATAACGGTATTGATGATCTCCTTTTTTATTATCTACTGCTTAGCGTTCGTAATCCTTTTCCGGCGAGATTCTTTGAAACTGAAAGCTATCGACAGTGGTGTTCATGTGAAAAATGCTGTCTATACTCTGAGCACGAAGTTCCAGCTGAGAGAAAATTTGAGAGTGATGAAGGTATTTGTTCTTCATTTTATAGGCTTGACTGACAGTCTTTATTGAGACCGATTGACCTGTTTTATACGGTTTTTCACTTTCTCACCTTTCGGCTTCCTCCATAAGTCGATATCCAGTAAACTGGTTGAGCAATTGCAACAGCTCTTCTGTTAATTGGTTAGGAAGGATAAGGAGGGATGACCACTGAAGTAGTGAAATACCCATTGATAGCAAGTCTCTCGCTAACTTCATAGCAATGGCAAATCCCAGATTATGACAATACCAGAACCTACTTCAAAAGCTGAAATTCCAAGAACTTCGAAATTTGTTCTGTTCAGCAAGAGGTATCCCGAATGTAATTTGACCTTTCAAAAAGAGCGAATCTTCATGTTACAGAGGGGTTAGGTTTCGCGTTTGAATCACGGGTACGCATAAAACTTTGGAAATCGTGCTGGTGAAGTGATTCACACTAAATGTGACACATTATGATTTTAATAGCATTTTTGTAGTGATTATCAGGTTTCTTCACTTTTGAAGTTTCTGTCTTTTGAAGTTTTCGTTCGTATTCCATCATTTTTTGGTCATCATTTTCATCGTTTTTTCATCGTTTTGGAGTCATAATTTTTCGAATAAACCGAAAAACCTCCACATAGAAATTGAAGAGTACCGTCGATTCTATTGAAAAACTTCATAGTACCTTCTTACACGGTTAACTACAAATTTTCTGCCACGGTAACATGGTGTGAATTTCCTTCGTGAGTCATCACGGGTTGTCCAGAATTTTGATGGGAGGGTATTTTGGATTCTTAGAGCTGCCAGACTCAGTATTCTAAATATGGTGAGAGACCTAGAAATGGGCATGGTTATGCTTATGGAAGAATATTTCAGAGATACTAAGGATTCAATCAAAGTTGGCACATTGTGCATTAACTTTATAGTTAATCCATGTCAAAATGACAACAGTGAAGGGAGAGCAAACGAGCTGAAATTTTCGCATCATTGTTGTATAGAGAAGTGTACGCATGTCATTCTGTAAAATAACCTGTGATCGTACGTTTCCAGGTGTTAATGCAACTGTCAATATTGTGGGCAATGAGCTCTAGTTTTGGGTGCCTGTCACTAATTTTAGCAACAACTGTACTAGTAGACCATCCGCAGGGGATTCGAATGAGTTATGCGTTGTTCAACTTCGCTTTTGCAATGTAAGTGAGGGTTCAAACATACTAGCGTTTCTCTTATTTGTGCTTGTGTGCAAACCTAAAATTGTTAATTAAGATCACCCAATGCTGTCACTTGGATATTCACAGTTGCAGTTGGTGGTTTTCATATGCGGCTTCTACTACCGTGGTACTCAAAAAGTGGCACAATTCATGGGAAGCGCGCAGTAAGCGAACATCGCGGAGCGTCAAATGCGTACTTCACCCAGTTGGTTGCCACATGGGAACTGTAGGCGTAATGTCTAGAATGCTGTCTCAGAGCGACAAATTACTCATCGTAGCAATATATCAGTGTATCAAATTAACCTTGGTTGGATACCGCAATATACAAGCTTTGCTGACCTGTCTTCAGTGGTGTGGAGCACAAAGAAAGTGTACACCCCTCCACACTTGGAACGGTCGATTACACTTTGATATAAAAGTCAATGATCGTCAGTGTAAGGACGATCACGTCGTTATCCGCAACGGTGATGAAAAGGGGTCTTGCAAAGTCAGAGCTGCAGTATATGGCACCATTCTAGCGAGTAAAGAGCCTAAGCTTAGCAGCTTTGGGGAGGATCGATTACGGTGAGCCTCGTTGAGCTCGACGGTGATGGCAGATGACGTCATATTCTGAAGACGGTGAGGGCAGTGAAGGAGGGCCTGCTTCTGCTTATGGGGGACACCTAAGGAATATTCGCCGTAAAACTCCCAATAACAACGGCATCCTGTGCGACGAAAAGTTTGATGATGTGCGCCATGGGCTAAGTGACTTTTTTATTTTCCGCCTGTATGCCTCTAGCTTTTAAAAGTTGGAGCATTGCTGTCATTATTGCTGTGACAGACAGACATTGGGAAAAAAAGTGAACTGTCCGAAAAAAAATGAATCAAATATTCGTCCATCATGAAAGTACTTTACAACTGCTTGATTTTTTTTTTCAGAATACTGAAAGTGAAGTTGCAAAAGAAACAAGGCAGGGAATATCACTCCACCCTATAATTCAAATGTTTTAAAACACTGGTCTCAACTGAATGAACTGATGTGCACTGAATTTTACAGCTTAGTGAATCATTTTCCAATAGTCTATTATCAAATTTCGCAAAACTCACGAATTCCGCGCAGGGGCCATGCTAATCTTCTCTGTGCTGTTCCAATTTTAGAAAATGTTCAAAAATGAACAAATAGGTTGGACAGATTGAAATGTCGTTTTCGATCATCAATTATTTTCATTATAAAAACAATAATGAAGCACATCAACCTGAAACATCTTCCTTCACCTGTGTCACAGGCTCATCACCTTTTGTTACGCAGAGCATGGATGCTACGCACAGCTGATACATTCATTATAAGAAAGAGGTGAATTTTTGCATGTAAATATGGGGTGAGGCAAAATCACTGAAATCAGTTTAATGGCACACAATATGTATATTACCTGAGCCTAATAAAAGGAAGAAAGAACAGTCATCACTCTATTCAGATATACTGTATACAACAGTGACTCTAAAGAAAACTATTGTATTGAATTCTACAGCAAAATGGAGTGAGGATTCTCTAGAAAGGATTAAGATCAATAAAACTGAGATTTATTCATTTTCATTTACAGTGATCGTGTAGAATACGAGTGGGGACGCTAGTTAGCCCTTTTAGGCCGCGTTCATAGTTCGCGACTCGGGAGATTAGGATAGTAGGCGATAGGATATTAGGATAGTAGTAGAGTAGGAGATTGCGCTGACAAGATTGGATACGTATCGATTGAAATCGCTGGAGAGTAGTAGATTGGGCGACTTCAAGCGAATAGATACATACGTATCTAATCTTGTCAGCGCACTATCTACTGATCTCCTACTCCATTACTATCTTATCATCGCGATATCGTAATCTACTGCTCTCCGGCGACTTCCCAGCGCACCATCCCACTCCTCTACTATAATAATACAGATACTATTAAAATTCCCTGCCAAGACATTCTTTTCCGTGCCTTGAAATTATCAATAACAGTGACAAGACAAGACGAGAATTCTACTTATCTCTGTGCTGATAGCCCATGTAAAGAGGAGGAGATTGCAAGAATTCGAGGACAGAGGGGCGACTGCCCGACACGTGTGATGCGATGAGAAAAAAAATAAAGATGAGGGCTGGAAGCAAAAAAAACTACGTAAATTTTCGCAGCGCAGAGGAGGAGTGAAAAAGTAGAAAAGGATGTTCGTCCCAAGCAGCACATACCCTCACCTACAAGGGGATATATGCAGTTGTGGGCAAGAGCATTACAAGCATTCCTTGAGGTTTTCTCCGTGAGAGTCGCGGAGAAAGATAATCGCGACTTCTAAAGTCTGAACCGCCTTATAAAAAGCCTATACCCTCAAGCAGGTTATCCGATTAATTTCCGTATTTTTAGACAATTTTTTTTTTTTGTAGCCGTTGCAAAATCATAGGACACCCCTCGGAAGTCTCCTTACAGTTGAATTTTTTTATCCATCCAGCAACGATGGTAGCACTTGTCCGGTGTATGGTAACTCTATTAGAGTTACGGTTTGAGTTGCTCTCCTCTCCTCCGCGAGTGAAAGCCAGACTTTCTTTTATACGCGCCTGATGGCTCTACCACGACCATCGAAGCCATTTTGGGAGCTCAAAGAAAACCATAGCTTGGTGCTCCAAATTCTCACTACGAATAGAAATAAGAGAGCACCAGGATAAACAGCAGAAGTTTTCCAAAAGGATTGGCGCATAACCTCGAAGACTACATCGAACAAAATCACCATGCACGCTCAGCCTGTCAGCTCTACGACAGAAGGCGGATAAAACCGAAACCATCCGGCAAAATCATTGATATGGACAACTAGCGTAGGGTCCTGCGAAGCGTGCTGCCATGCTCGTTGGGCGTCTGACTGAAACCAGGGAAGAGAAATTCAAACGAAAGACTGGGCCAAGGCTGGGCTTGTTTGAGCAAATTTCATTCAAGATTATGAGTGTTTTGTTCCTTTCAGACCGCTTTTCCTTGGTAACAAGGAGTTTAACATTGATGATTCAGATGACGTTGTTCACTAGTAGAGGAATATAGGCCAGGTTTCGACGATATTCCCTCAACGAAATTTTCGTGGTAGTTTCCTAAAGATGAGTGGATGCGTAACTCATTCTGAGTCCCAGAACCTTAAGTTTTTCCTCACTGGAATGAGTATACTAGAGAGCAGGAGAGGCGCAGAAAACCAACTGCCATCTTTTTTTGCAGATTTTGCGTGAAACTACCTTTTGACAAGTAACACACCTAGTCATGCGAAGGCTCCAATGAGCCAGTGTTATAAACTAGCTTAGTGACTCTCATAGAATGGCCAGCAAAGAGTGCGCGTCTGAAATTTGTCGACATTCACTTGGATGAACCTTTGCTAGCAATGGCTGCGCAAATACTCACAAGATCAACAATTTCAAAGTTGAAGCAACGGATTCCCCACTGATGAGCACCACTTTGATTTAAATATGTATAAAAATTTGCGGCACGTTTCTTCTTGTATGGATAGTGTTATTCTGCTGAGTGGTTCCTTTTGGAATACTAAAGCAATAAGATTGCGTATTTCTGTATTTTTGAGGTTTTGAAGGGGGTGTCCTATGATTTTGCACCGGCTCCAAAATTAAAAAATTTGTCTAAAAATACGGAAAACTAATCGGATAACCTGGTAACTTGTGAGTATAGGTTTTTATAGAAGGCGGTTCTGATTTTACAGGTTGCGATAAACGACGTTTTTATTCCGAGATATTCATATTTTTGAGGGGCCTATGATTTTGCGCTGCGCAGTATCTGTTGCAAATCTGTATTCAATTCCGTCGATTCCGTGATATTCAGAAGAGGAAATCCCCGGAGGCAACCTCCTGTCAAATTGGTTTTTTAGCCGTTACTGCAATTCGAGACTTGGAGATGATCCGAGATCATTTCACTCGCTGAGAATCTGTGATATTTATGAAACACTATTATAACATTTGCATGTTGTTTGATTTGTTTTTTTTTGGGAGTTATTCTTGCTACAGTTTATGATGCGGTAGCCGTTGTGAGAATAAGTCCACGGTTTCTTTTTGAATAACGGACACATAAAAATGAATATGGCTGAACAAAAATGACTGTTATTTAGCCCATATAGACCGAAGTTGCGCGAAATACTCCTCAGTTCTCTCGTTTGTGTTTCCATTGAAAATTGTAGGTATTTCAGCATCAATTCCAAACGAGCAGCAACAGCAGGAAGCGAGTAGTCGGCGATTTCCACAGAGGGTTACTAACGTCCACCAAACGAGTACGGTGAAACAACTGAAAGTATCAGGAACGCTTCCAAAATCAGATTAGTTAGTTTAGACTAAGTCATTAGCAACATCTGACTTTTGATCTTCCCCAAACTTCTGAAATAAATACAGTACTCGCCGTTTGAAATCGAAAATTCACGCGAATAACGCGAATCCTCGTTAATTTCGTGAATTCGTTATAACTCGGTTCAAAATTGAGCTTTCGAGAATCCGAAGATATCTTTGAATTCAGCTCGTCGGACACTATAAGAATGCTTTGATACTTTGGAAAAGCTCCATATAGGATTGCGCCATGCACTCGATTTTCATCTCAAAAGTAGTTGCTCGCATGTGATGTGTATATAATCCCGCTTATGCGGGCTGAACCGCTACACACAGAAAGGGCCTCAAAACTTACCCCAGAATGCGCCACGTACTCAATCTCATCCACTACATTGTGAGATTAGATGAATGTTATTTTCCGAATTCTTAGATCTTCATTTCGTTTTTAAGCGCTTACTGGCTTTACGTGTTCCCTGCTCTCAATATCCCATCCTCTGTATATCAAGTGGAATCTTTGAACAGTTCTCAGCAGGCATAGTGGGCCTATTATGTGACATTTTCCATTTTCAGAGGAGATGTTTTGCAGAAAGCTGTGAAGATAGCGAACAATTTCCTTCACTGTCGTAGACTACGGTCACTTGTCTGTAAGGATTATATGGAAACCTTGGTCGCAGGTGAGCGTTTCTTCCGTGGTGTGACCCCAAACATCACCCCTTGTCATGCCTTTGCCCCCTATTACGTGACAAGTCCCATTTTTAGAGGAATGTTTTGTAGAAAGCTGTAAAGGAAGCGAAGAATTTCCTTCACTGTCGTAGACTATGGTCACTTGTCTGTAGGAATTATGGAAAACTCGGTCGCAAGTGAGCGTTCCTTCCGTGGTGTGGCCCCAAACATGCCTCCTCGTCATGCCCTTGTGGAAAGTTCAGATTTTTTGCATTTCCAGATGAACTCGCAGACCTGAAATGTGCCCGTTAGCTTCCCCGTGAAAAATGCTATCGAATGATATGCATTACTTCCCCAGTTGAAACTTTGGTTTTTCACCGTTTTCAGCCTTCCCCTATTGCCGGGGCATATCCCACGATTACTGCCCCAAAATCTCAAAGTTTCATTTTTCGTCGAAACTTTGTCTATTGGGGTAATTCGATGCCCTGATTACGAATATGACATTCATTTTGATGCTGGTGTTTGGCGCCATTTGGCGCCACGGCTGTTTTCACCAAATCTGCTGAAACTTCGTCATTTGGGGTTATTTGGGGTCCTGATTACGAAAACGACACCCGTTTTTGGCGCTGGCGCCATTTGGCGCCACGGCTGTTTCCACCAAATCCGCTGAAAACGTGTGTATAGGGGTTATTTGGGGTCCTGATCACGAATATAACATCCAGTCTTGACGCCGGCGCCATGTGGTGTCACAAACAACACTTCACAGTCAGAGCGTACTCTTAGGCACCTTTCTCAGAGCGCCGACTGTCAGACCGTGGAAAAGGTCATCGAATCGGAGACTTTCCCACGACAGGAAGGAGCCAGACCGTGGAAAACTGTGAGCTAAGCCAGAAGCATATTTCACGTTTTCACTGGAGATGCCTGTATGCGTTGGGCAGAGCAGCAATTCGACTGTAAGCTCTCCAGCTGCCACTGAGGATGGTAGTACCGTGCTCGATGTACTACTTCATGATGAGCCGCAGTAGAGTTGAAACGTCTTTCCTTCGGACCATCCGAAGGAGTCCACTTCCTCTTTCAATGCCTCCAAACAGCCACTTGTGCCTGCGTACCCAACGTCGGCGGTTGTATTTGCGTTTGATAACCAGTGTTTCGTCAATTTCCATCTCGCACCCGAACCTTCCGATGATCGG